GGGCAATAATATGCAAGTTTAAAGGGGCTAAAAAATCGCATTTATTTTCAATATTTTTTTTTTTGTTCTTGTAGACATTTGGTTAGGGCTCGGTTGTCGATAATGCTAAATTACGTTCTGCTAAGAAGGAGCATTGCAATACTTCAGTCTTTTTTGAGTTCATTACATTTTCAATGAAGTCTTAAAAAAGTCGCCTATTTTTTCTGTCGTTTTATGCTGCACAGCTTTATTGAAGCTTTAGCACTACACACCATATTAAAAAAAAATGACAGCTAAAAATTTTTTCTTTCCACAACAAATTTACAACAAAAAAGCTACAATTAATGCTGTTGTAACATTTTCAATATCTTAATTCTCAGGTCAATGGTGCATGGTGTCAAGTTAGCACTACATACTAAATTTTGTTCGAAAAACGGTCAATTCAATTCTTTCCAGGGAAACGAAAGTTAAAATTTTATCCTTTATTTTTTTTAAGTCNTTATTTTAAGATTTGAGTTAGAATTCGAAGTGTATAAGTTTCTCTACGCATAGCACACATGTGCGTGTGCTTTACATTAATACAAAGAAAGTACACACATGTGCCCGTGCTTTTTACCAAACGGCACACACATGTGATGTGAGCAAATTTTTAATTTTTTATATGCACAGCACACGTGTGTGAGCTTAAAATGTTAGGATGTGCTGCACAGTGTGTGCAAATACGAACCCTGCTTGTATTGTATACAAAGGTACTGTAAACTGGTTTGAGATCGTTAATATAAAAATCATTTTATACATGCACTTGTGATCAGCTGATTAAGTCATCAACATTTTNATGGTGTCAAGTTAGCACTACATACCATTTTTTCTTAAAAAACGAAAGCTACAAATTTTTTCTTTCCACAACAAATTTACAACAAAAAAGCTACAATTAATGCTGTTGTAACATTTTCAATATCTTAATTCTCAGGTCAATGGTGCATGGTGTCAAGTTAGCACTACATACTAAATTTTGTTCGAAAAACGGTCAATTCAATTCTTTCCAGGGAAACGAAAGTTAAAATTTTATCCTTTATTTTTTTTAAGTCAAAAGCTACAATTAATGGCATAGTAACATACTGGATATCTCAATTCTACCGACTAGTGTAAAGTTAGCACTACATGCTATTTTTTCTTAAAAAACGAAAGTTGAAATTTTTTTCTTTCCACAACAAATTTACAAACAAAAAAGCTACAATTACTGCCGTTATAACATTTTCGATATTTCAATTCTATCGACTGGGTGTATGGTGTCAAGTTAGCACTACATAGCATTTTTTCTTTAAAAACGAAAGCTACAAATTTTTCCTTTCCACAACAAAAACGCTACAACTAATGCCGTTATAACATTTTCAATATCTCAATTCTATCGACTAGGTGTATGGTGTCAAGTTAGCACTACATACCAGTTTTTCTTAAAAAACGTAAGCTAGAAATTTTTTCTTTCCACAACAAATTTACAACAAAAAAGCTACAAGTAATTGCATAGTTAACTTTTCCAATTTTGAAAAGTGTAGTGCTAACTTGACAGACGTCAAAAACCGAAGTAATACCTACATGCATAGTTTCGACTCAAAACCGAAATAATGCATATGACAAAAACCGATTTTGCGCAGAACTTCCTCTTACTAAGTGGAATTCTCCTTTCTGTGTTGCCGGAAAAACGTGGCGGAAGTATTTTTGCGCAGAACTTCTTTCTGCGTAGGCGGCCTTCGGCCGCGCTTAGGGATTATAACGCTTACTAAGTAGTATTCTCCTTTCTGTTTCCGGAAAAGAGGGCGGAAGTATTTTTGCTCAGAACTTCATTCTGCGTAGACGGCCTTCGGCCGCGCTTAGGTATTATAACCCTTACTAAGTACAATTCTCTTTTCTGCGTTTCCGGAAAATGGGGCGGAAGTATTTTTGCGCAGAACTCCTTTCTGCGTTGGCGGGCTTCGGCCGCGCTTAGGTATTATAACCCTTACTAAGTAGAATTCTCCTTTCTGTGTTGCCGGAAAAAAGAGGCGGAAGGATTTTTGCGCAGAACTTCATTCTGCGTAGACGGCCTTCGGCCGCGCTTAGGTATTATAACCCTTACTAAGTACAATTCTCTTTTCTGCGTTTCCGGAAAATGGGGCGGAAGTATTTTTGCGCAGAACTCCTTTCTGCGTTGGCGGGCTTCGGCCGCGCTTAGGGATTATAACTCTTACTAAGTAGAATTCTCCTTTCTGTGTTGCCGGAAAAGAGGGGCGGAAGCGAGCGAGCAAACTCCTACTCAGTGCCTTGCAGGCAGCGAGGCGCTCGCAGCTCGTAGCCAGTGTTGCCAGAGAAAGTCCCCTAAAAATCTTAATTTTTACCAAAAAAATCATTAAAATAAGATTTTAAAGCTAAAAAATCTTTTCGATCCCAAAAAATCTTCATTTAAAAATACCTAAAGAGCAACAAATTCGATATTGTCTTTACGGCAGTAAATAGCCCTTATTATGTTGGTTGAAAAAATTATCAATTTGGAGTTATAAAGTCCTTTTTATAACAACTTAAACTTAAAATGAATATTGCCTAGTATCATCACAAAATTTGTAGCACAGTTAGCATATGTTTATATACACTGGCGAAAATATAAATAGGGTCGCGACATTTTGCACGCTTTGACCGACTTCAAAAAAGGAGGAGCTTATCAATTCGTGCGAGTATTTTTATGTATATATGTTACTGCATAACTTTGGACTACTTGAACTGATTTCGATACCGATACGGTCATTGGATCATGAAGAAATTGATAAATTTTTATATGAAAATTGAAGTCGCTTGTGCTTTTTGTTTAAAAATTACTTGTTTTTTTTTTATGAAAGAATAGCTCGTTATCTATCAAAAACCATAAGTCCAAACTTCAATCTTTGTACAAAAGTTAAGAAAATTCGACAAAGTTCCATAACAATTTTGAGCTTTTTAATTCGATTTTTTATTGATATTTTTACATGGACGTTGTTTTATAAATGTCAACGCCCCTTTTCTCTCGTTATACATTTATCCATGTAGACCCATCAGTTGTCATTTAAACTAGAGGGGATTTTATTATTATTATTTTTTTTCAGAGGAGGAAGCATCGAAAGCCTTAACCCCAAACCAGTCAGTGTGAGACTTTAACCCACTAAACCTCCTACCGTCTACGTACCGATCCCCCCGGTACCACCGTCAAGTATTTCGTCGGGAGGCGGTTTGAGCGCTAAGCTCTACGTCCGTTACTGTTCACATGACACCACCCGCTGTTAAAGTCGATCTGGTGTTAAACCAACCCACCCATTTAGATTATCCTATTAGGAAGTTCGTATCTAAGTATAGTATAGACCGCATATAGCAATTTAATACCGCTTATTCGATTTTTTAGAGGCTCGCCCCCTTAAGGCCGTTACTTCTCAAGAAAACGGGCTTGTTGCGCCAAGACTGTAGCGGCTGCTAATTTAAGTTGCGTCGAAGGACTTTAATCATTTCGGCAGAGAAATGGCAGATATAGTTCCATGCTTCCTCGCTCGTTAACATTATCGGTACCATATTTTCTGGTGTTATACAGGAGCCACGTTTGGTATTAAGTACGGATCTCATGGAGTCGAAGCGGAGGCATTTGAAAAATGCGTCCTCGGCGTCTTCAATGACCGTCGGTCCACAGTGCTCGCAATAAGGGGTTTGCGTATGTCCGAAGCGATAAAGGTATGCTTTAGAGCATCCGCGTCCACTGATGACTTGGGTAGATAGTGATCGACTGTGCCGTGTTTCCTGCTGAGCCAAGTGCCAGTTTTTGGTATGAGGCGGTAAGTCCACCTACCCTTTGTTGTTCTGTCCCATCGTTCCTGCCACTGTGCTTCAGTTCAAATTTCTGCTGAATCTGGGCTGTTGAGGGAAGAGTTCTTTTACAATTTGCCCCAAAAGTGCTGGGCATGTTGGTTGGGTTGTTTTCTTCAATTTGTTAAGTACCAGTTTGAAGGCAAAACCCCAAGGGTTGCTGTCGACACCATCACATAGCTCTTTAAACATTCTTTGTTTGCTGCACCGGATAGCGTTCTTAAGTTGCCTTCTGCTGTCCTTGTATGCCCGCCTAAGCTGTATAGCATTTTCTGCTTGACGCGAGCGTTCGCATATGCGTCTAGCCCTATTGCACCGTGCGCGCAGCGCCGCAATGTGGTCATTCCACCAATACGCCGGCTTGCGTGTTTTGTGTCGACCTTGTCGTTCCATGGATATGTCGCATGCTGTAGTTATAGCTTTCATTAGCTCAGACGCTGCAGTCTCCATCGAAAGCGATACTTCTACATCGTTAAATGCTATTTCGAAGAGCTTTTCGTCAAAGCTTTTGGCTTTCCAACCTCGATTTCCACTAGGGAGTACCGTGTTTGCCCGTGCTCGGTCGATGGTAATACTGATAGCGCGATTATCGCTGTGTGTGTAGCACTCGCTGATGTGCCAGCTAACGTCTCTGCTTAGACCTCCACTAATGAACGAGAGGTCTATGATAGAACCAGCCCCGTTTCTGGAGGAGGTGTTTTCATTTCCGCTGTTGAGCAATACCAGGTTAAGTGAGGCCAGTGCATCAAGGAGCTCTCTTCCTTTCGGGTTAGTTCTTTTGCACCCCCATTCAACTGCCCATGCATTAAAGTCTCCTGCAATGAGAGCCGCGTTTCTTAGCCTAGCGTCATTAACTAATTCGGTTATAATTGAAGTGAAGCTAACCAAGTCCGTACTAGGTGGAATGTAGCAGCTGTAAACGTAAAGGTTATTTATTCTGGCACATACAAAACCGGCCGTCGATAAGACTATCCCGAGATGTTTTGGTGTACTTCCGCAGCTCCACATGGCACACTTACCGGTTGTGTCTCTGACCCACGAGACCTCTTTTCTGTTTTTATATGGCTCACTTAATATTGCGACGTCTATGTCCAGCTCAGACACTGTTTGGCCAAGTAAGTCTTGAGCTGCTTCGCAGTGATTTAAATTGAGCTGCAACAACTTCATGGTGTTTTTGCTGGTACCGTGTATGCTTTTGCCTTCTGAAAAATAGGACATGTTCGGCTTCCTGTCGCGTGATTGGTGTTATTTTGCCCATTTTTGAGACAAAGTATGCATGAAGGTTGGTTCGAGCAGGACCTCGCCTTATGGTCTGGCTTGCCGCATCTAAAACAGAGATTAGTGCGATCCTCCTCGTTCCGACATTGCCTACCCACATGCCCGAAGTCATGGCACTTAAAGCATCTGGTTACGACTTCTTTTTGTCTTACGCGGCATATAACCCAGCCGATGCGGATTTTCGACTTGTCGAGAAGTGTTTGAGCGGTCAGTGCTGGGAGACTTAAAGTACACGTTTGCGTCCCCCCATAAGCAGCGCGCATTGAACGTATCGCAGATGGCATAGTTTCTTCGTTGGGAAGATTGCTTCTTAGCGCATCGAGTACTTCGTCTCTAGTAGTGACTTCATCGATATTTTTAATTTCTAGCAGGGTCTCTTGGGTAATCGACCGAACTTGTGTCTTTCCACTAAGAGTAGTTTCCACTGCTGGTTTAAGCTTCTGAGTCGCTGGGTCAGCTTGCTTTTTTAGCTCAAATAAAAGTTCTACTTTTGACGTCTTTCTTATGTGCTTTACACTTAGACTGAGTTGCTGCAGCTCGGGCTGCGACTTTATCTCCTTAAGTATCTCCGCGTATGCGAGATCACCCGTCTTTTTAAGGATCAGGGCATCGGATTTCCCTGGCTTGCTTCTGGCCTGCCTTTTGTCCATCTTCGTCTTCCATTCACCTGATTGGGTGGCGTTTGCACCTATAGGAAAGCTGTTGCTTGTTTGCTTATTTATTGCAGCTTGTTCTAAATTCTGCGGTTGGTCTTGGCTCTTCTTTTGTTGTGGTGTCTGACCAATTAGATCCTCAGGAGATGTTAGGCGGCTGCGTTTATTTGTTTGCCGCGGCGAATTGGGGTCCGCAGGCTCTTTACCATTAGTCTCTATAACATCGCTCTTACGATTTCTCTTCGCTTGCTTCTCTCTCTCTGTCTGTGTACTCTTGCAATCAAAAGTAGCAGATGGTCTCCGGCCGTGAAGCTCAGTGAGAGCACGCTTATGGTGCTCGTCAGTCGCCTTCACAAGGTCTCTCATTTGGTTGTTGATGTGCTTCTGGCCTTCCATCCTACTAATCACCTCTTTGATCTTAGCTCCCAGTAGAAATAGCGGATCTCCATAAGCTCCTCGTTCCGTCGTTTGCTCATATTCGCATTCTTTATGATGCTGTGTTTCGCGCGGTTCTTTGTTTGTCGCTTGCTCAATTGCTAGTGGATTGTCTCTCCCTGGTGAGCGGGCGATCCGCGAACTTCTCAAAAAGGGGCTAGGTACCTCATTTGCCTCCGCATATATACGCATGCATAATCGTCTGACTTCTGCTGCTATCTGGCACCTGCTGGCCGGTTAGTGTCGAACGGCTGCTCGCTCTCTTCCTCTCTGTTATATTTTCTCAAAGCATTTTCGCGCAGTTTTTGAAGTTTTGTTTTCTGTGGAATGTTGACAAGGTTTTTGTTTTAGCTATTTTACCTTTTAGTCACTCAGGTTGGCGCAAAGCTGTCGCTTCTTTGCGTAAAGCTGTCGCTTAGTAATACACCTGTGCAGTTTTCGGATTGTATTACGGTCACTTTCAAGCTTTATTTCACTATACACCAGAGCACTATAAAAACACGTCTTAACCTCAAGATTGCGTTGAAAATAAGAAAATGAAAAAAAAACAGCAGCACAATGCGAGCGTGGTTTTTATAATAAAATAAAAAGAATAATTACAATGAAATCGCCTTTGGTATATGGTTTATATTTTAAATACTTTTAATAAAAAAATGCGAACTACGTAAGTCAAAAAAATACCAAGCACTGATAATGATTTTTGATTTGAAATATTATTAGGTACATTGATATAAATATGGGAAGGAAAATACTCCGATTTATTGTTTTAATGTCATCAAAGTGGCAAGGCCGTTGATAATACTCACAATTTATGAAGCTCCAACAAATTTGATTATCCGTTTATTGAAACTACTTTCTTTTTTGTATCATGGTTTACTGTATACTGTGACGGCAGCGAGATATTTAAGTAAACAAGGAACAAAATAGATAATAAGGCATGAAGGGTTATATCGAGCCACATTTTTGCTTTTTCCATAGCTAAACGGCTGGTATTTTTGACTTATTCAGCGTTTTTACTGCATTTAAAATGCAACATTTAGCACTTTCGAACATATGTTTTCGTAGAGCGTTTATGCTATCGCATTTGGCAAATGTACATTTACGCGAGTTCGAAATCGTATGCTTTTGACAAACAGTTGTGTTCCAGTCGCTTATTCAGATTCGTATCTATTGCGATCAATTCTCGCGCACAAGATAATGTGCAAAAAACCCTACTGAAAAGGAAAAAATAAACTTTAAACCAAAAATTCAATACAAAAACTTGAATTGTTTTAACCATAACCGAATATATTAATTTGTGTATATATTCATTTGTCGGTGCTATCAATTAAAATTTCCTCACTTAATTAGGAAACAAAACAAACAGAGTTGATCACAAATTGATCCAGATTTCTTTCAGNACTTGAATTGTTTTAACCATAACCGAACATTTGTTTGTGTATATATTCATTTGTCGGTGCTATCAATTAAAATTTCCTCACTTAATTAGGAAACAAAACAAACAGAGTTGATCACAAATTGATCCAGATTTCTTTCAGCATCACATCGATGTTGAATTTGCGTTACTTTTCTTTATCCAAATAATGTAAAATAATAAATGAAATCTCGATCGGCGATCACTGAAACGCAGCTAGCCACTGTATACGCGAAAAAGCTATGCTGCCACTTTTTCTCATTAAACCATGTTCGAATCGTGGAAATTTTGGAAGATCACAGGGTTGCTTTTAGCATTTAGATTCTTAATGCAAAAATGGAGTTGCATTTAGTTGCATTTAGGTGACGAATTTTGTATGGATAAATGTACATTTAGAGTAGCATTTAGAGCTAAATGCGCTAAATGTGCTTTTACGCGTAAGCAAAACCAGCCCATTACATAACCTGACAGCCGGTTCTACGTACCGGAATGACTCGGGTTTCACCCGACCAAGGGCTGTTGTTTCGGCGATCTAACCCCGTTTAGGTCGGCGAAGTATCTTAGAAGTTGTCCGTCCATAGGGCTACATTCACTACGTATTCTCCTACTCAGGGCTGGCATCGAGTCAAACCCTGGGCCAGAAACATACACCTGCTGTGTATGCCGAACACGATTACACCACAACTCCACCTCAGTCAAGTGTAATGCCTGCGAGGGGTGGAGTCACCTCAGGGTCTGCTCGGGACTACGGACACACAGACAGTGGACCACGTCGTACGTGGCCCCCTGTTGCTCAAACAGAGCAGCCTCCACGGCTAACCATAGTCCGCCCGAGCAGCCCCACACACTAACACAGCAGCCACACACAGTCACCATAACACAACAACATAATAACACCACAGACCGTACCACAGCCACTATAAACCACATAACACACGCAACCGCACCACCACCCACACGCCGCCGCCAACAACTCCTGGTTCCCCCTACAATCTGCACGGTATGTCAGACCAGGATATCCCGTAATGTGACATCAGTCAAGTGCATCACCTGCCTTGGCTGGTGCCACTTTAGGGCATGTTCAGGTCTGCGCACCACGCGAGATTGGACGGGGAACTTCGAGGGCCCGTGTTGCGCTGCTCGGTCGCTGACATCAATTGCGACGCCCCCCATTCGTCCGTTAGTTCATATAGATGCCTCCTGACGTGCCTAGGCGAGGGCTCCTCTGCAAGCAGCTGTCTGCTTGGGTGGCCACTTCTGTGGCTCCCGATCAGGAACTGCTTGCAGAGCATTATATTATGCTCCTTTACAGGTAGCATTTGCGCCTCGCCGTGCAGGTGGTGTTCAGGCGACATCAAGAGGCATCCCGTCGCTGTCCTGAGTGCGGTGTTTTGTACAGTCTGTAGCTTCGTCCACTGCGTCCTACTAGTCCCTGGCGACCACACTGGCGCTGCGTAGTTCAAAACCGGCCGGCCTATTGCC